GAGACGGATCCTAGGGGGCAAGAGGGAGAATCTGATAGGACCTGGAGGAAGAAGAATGCGGACTAAACTGTAGTCTTGGGTCAGCATTCCCAGCACATTGTGGGGGGGATATGAAAACCTGCAGGAAGTGTGAATATGTCTCACTAAATCCCTTAAAATGAAATTCTTTAACTAGGTTCAAATGACCAAGAAGTTGTGATACGAATATATAAGAAGGAGAGATACCAAAACTTCGAAGATATGAAGAAAGTTGGTTGGAAGGAAGTCGTGATGGGGTCTCATCAGAAACCGAAGGAGGATTTATGAGTAGGGAAGACTGTTGAATTTTGCGAAGAAATCCTCGGCTGATAGGTTCTCGTAAGTTGGGTATAATATTTTCTAATATTTTTATTTCCTAAAGAAGAGACTACTAATTTATTTGTAGTTCTCTTTGGAAATTGCTCTTTTTTATTGGTCAAGTTAAGAAATAGATTATAGGTCCTACCCCTTTGTTTTTGCGTTTGTGGGTAAATATTTAATATGCTCTTCTAACCTTTGAAAGTTAAAGTCAATTAAGCTCTAGGGCGACCTGATGAAACTCGAGTATTTATTAACGAATTATTGATCTTCTCGGACAATACTCTAATAGAAAGTCAATTGTTTTCGTTTTAATGATAAAATTTGCTTTGAATTCATCCTAGAGGATGCCGGGAGACGATCCTTCCGGCGATTGGAGCTGGTGGCAGCGTCGGTTGAACACTGAGGCAGACTCGGAAGAGGCTCGAGTTCACCTTCTTCTCGAGAATCCGGGCCCCTTGGACAGTGAGTTTGTATTCTTCTTTCCAGAGGATCTGGAGCTGGAACTTGAGTACTGGGCGGAAAGCGGAGAATACACTCCTGAACAACTGCATCAGGCAAGTAGCGGATTCAAGCAGGGACTGATGCTTTTGCACGCAAGTGTGACTAATTGAACCTTACCAATATTTAGGACTACTGTTGGGGGTAGAATGGAGATGAAAGTATGAAAATGACAATTTGTATGAATGAGGCAAAAGGTGGGAATGCGGAGATTCTTATGAAAATAAATAACCACGTTAGTGAGTGTGTATTTGTGTGTGTGGGTGTGTGTGTGAAATCTGTTAGTTTAGACATAATTACATAATTCCCCTTCCATTGCTTCAAGACTAAACAAGGTATTCTATAAACAATTTTTCAAATTAACAGATGAAGGTTCAGAGTTGTGGTCTATTCGAAATTTCACCACGACGCGGACACTTGGCCCCTGGAGAGGCTGCATCTTTAATCGTCGCCTATAGACACCGTATCTTGGGCACCCATCGTCTGCCTGTGCTGCTAAAGATCAACCATGGCCGGGAGTTGATGGTGAGTCTAGTCTACTTGATGAGAGAGCAAATTCTTTTGCACTTACAAAATATAAAAGTGGCCATACCATCGAGGATAGATGCAAAGAGATTTGGGACGGCTTGTTGACAGAAATGTCATAACTGAGCAACGAATCAAAGAACCTCGAAGACGGCCCTCAACGCCTGGGCCTCTTATTCATTGCCTATGCGGTTTGGAAGGGGCCGAATTATGCCAGAGAATTTGCGAAATCTGCTAATCCATTCTGATTGGAAAGTGAGGCAAATATTTCAGCATACTTTGGGTCAAACGGCCTATAAAGAGGCAGGATTACGTAAAAATTTTCGCTTTAAAGAAGACTTCTGAGAATACCGGCAGAGCTTATATGAAAACTGTGTTCACCATATTGTATATAAGACGATGAAGGGCTGGTAGTTGAATTTTTCCACATTGAAACGAGTAGGCTTCAAGTTTACACTGTATAGGGAATAGATACTATTATTAAATGTATAATAGTATAATATATAATAGTGTATCTTATATTCCCCTTATATGGAATAGATACTATTATTAAATGTATAATACTATAATATATAATAATGTATCTTATATTCCCCTTATAGAGAATAGATACTATTATTAAATGTATAATTCTATAATATTTAATAATGTATCTTATATTTCCCTTATAGGGAATATATACTATTATTAAATGTATAATACTATAATATATAATATTGTATTTCCTATTCCCCCCTTATAAGGAATAGATACTATTATTAAATGTATAATACTATAATATATAATATTGTATCTCCTATTCCCCCCTTATAGGGAATAGATACTATTTTTAAATGTATAATACTCTAATATATAATAATGTATCTTATATTCCCCCCTTATAGGGAATAGATACTATTATTAAATATATAATATTGTCTTGTCTCCCAAAAGTTATT